GACGTGTAAGAGATTGGTGAGAAGTCTCAGCTATCAGGATTGAACGGTTTATTGAGGTTCTTGCAAATTGGGTTAAGTACGGCAGTTGTTAATGGGAAGATTTCAAATTGCAGCCATTTCGATTCTCTGTGGTCAATTAATCAGGTAACAGTTACATCCTAGAACCGAATTTGTATATAAATATATATTTTCTGGAAACCCAAATTAGGAAATTTTTTATACAACTGTAATTCTCCATGTAAATTTTTGCAGGATGGCTTTCCCTTGAATTCCCGTTGTGTACTGTATAAATCTGCTGTAGAGGAGGTGAGCATATGGGGTTGGCCTTTGCAGACAGCAGGATTGCTCACAACTGGATTTTCATCCAAATCATTCACTGTGTTATCTGGTAGAGTAACAAAGGTAAAATTCTCTTCACACTCTCCAAATTAATTTGCAATCAGATTATGATTGTAAGTTCTAACTTGTGTGTTGGCATGAAAAGTGGTCAAATGGTAGGATCGGATTTTCAGTTCACAAGGTAAATACTTCATGGGTGCAAAAGAGATTGAGTGGATCAGCGATGCAATTGGATCCTAATACATGGGTTTTAGAGTATCGGTGGAGCTCCATCTTGGAGAACTCAAGGTTGTTTACCACAGCACTGGAGTTTTTGAAATACAGGATATCAATGGTGGCGAGAAAGGTAAAAGAAGAGTTCTGGGTGTTGTCTGATTATGGAAGCCAATATCGTAAGTTGACAGCAAAAGAGCAAATCTTGATCCCCACTTAGAAAAATTAATGGTTATTGAAGAACATTCAGTTCTCATTGCTTGTGAGAAGCTTTCAATTTCAGTTCTTCTAGATATTACATGTGTTGATATTCCTTGAATTGAAATTTAGTTGGTAAAATTGCAACAAGCTGATTGCTTTTTTTGGAACAAATCTCCTCCTTTTGAGCATTGGATTAGAAAGTTTAGTTCTGGTCATTCAAGATCATCTTGCACATTTTTTAAAATAATATTATGCTAGAAAGAATTGTTTAAAAAGTATATATATATACTTGTAAATACTTGTATTTGATTGATGCAGATACGAGCATTCATAATTCTATCTGAATTAGAAAACTAGAACAAATGTGATCAAACTAAATTTGTTGATCCAGTTTATAAGAAAAAAAAAAAAAAAAATCAGATTGTGGCATCCAAAATTAGATGGCTTTTTTTTTTTTTTTCAAAATTTCTTATCAATGATCTTTGTAATTCAAATATCAAATTAGTTAATATTATCTAAAGGAGTTAAAAGTTTTAAATAAACTTAAAGTATCATTAATCATGATTATTTGCATTTGAAATTTCATTCATTATTATATTCATATAATAATCATGTGTTTACCATATTTTATTATCATGTAATCACAATTTGACACTAATAATTAAAAAATTGATGATCTATGAAGATTATCTCAACGCTAATTAGTAACTGATTGCATAATATATTACTAGTGATCTGTTAGTTGAAGAGGTAGGAGGGTGTGGATTCAAATATTGAGTTATGTGTTTTATATATTTTTTTAAAAAAACTTGTGTTGCTATTACTACATACATATCACATATTTAATCTTATAATTTCTCGTTATAAGAAAAATATTTATTACATCAAATCTCTATTAATCTTATTAACTTGTGTATCTACCTAAACTTTCAAATTAGCAATAAGCACTGAGATTGTTTAAGTCATTTTCTTATGTTACTAGAGTAAGAAAAAAAAAATCGATACTATTTTAGTAAAAGAAATAATTAAAATAATTTTATAAAATTAAAGATAAAATAAAAAATTTATATTTAATTATAATATTATCTTTAATTCATAAACTAAATTTAAAATTGTTCATATCTTATCATAAAATGATATATTATTTACTAATAGAGCCGTATCATGAGATAAACAAGTTTCACGCAGATAATATTCAAAAAAATAATACAGAACGAATGTATTTTATACTATATTTTAGAGTTTTAAATTTCAAATATTCAATTACCATGAGATAAATATAAAATAGTATACAAAATATACAAGAGCATATGTATAATAACTTATTCTCTAGATTATTCATGATATCCTATTTTTCTGAAGTTAAATATAATAGTTAATAGTTTACTTGGTATGATATCTGTTCTTATTGGGATTTATAACTCCTTAGGGCTTTCATTGTGTTAAATTTATTGGATTGATAATTTGGGTTAGCACTAGAGAAGGTAACCTTATTAGTATATTTCTTATAGGCAGGAAATTCTTGACATTTCCTTTAGTTTGTTTCCTTTGAACCATTTATTTATTTAAATGCTTATTTGTTCTACACAATACATATTTTTCGTTTTTTTTAAGTAATTAATATTGTTTTCTTTCTTTTCTTTTTAATATGATAGTTAATCTTTCATCAATATTTTGTTTCATTTAAACTATTTTCTTTAAAATCTCCCTTTTGGAGAATTTGAGAAAGAGAAGTTTTGAATCTTTAACTGTGTCTATTTTGTAGCAACTTCTTCTGGTGAAAGGAAATAATAAATTAGATTTTTAATCTTTGACTAATGAGCTTCTGTACAGCTTCCCTTTCCTTGATTTTAAGTTTGAAATGGTAAAATAGAAGTCACCAATAGTCTTTACAAGAACATACACCATCCTTATAATGGTGAAACCTAGTCCTATCTCTCACAACAATCTCTCTCTCATACACTTTTGAGACCAACTTGATAAATGTATGACAATCCTCACAAACTCTGAGATTTTTTACTATGCGAATACATGAACCTTTTTCTGCTCTCATCAACCCATAACACAGGGCCAACTTTTCACTGTGCCATAAAACCACTTCCTTTTTTTCTTCCTCATCTAGATCTATCAAAACGCTGCGAGTATTAGGAGCATAACCAACCAGTTTCAACTCACTAACTACCTCTTCTAACTTCTCATAGATCTTATCCGCATGTTTGTGTCTGCTATCTGCCATTAGAAATTCATGTAGCTCCTCATTTAATTCTATCCTGCTACATCCCCTCTCCTTATATATCCCTTTTTGTTTCATCAACTGCCGTAACACCCCAACATCTTGCCACCTTCTTTCTCGGGCATATATGTTTGATAATAGCACAAGAGCTCCATCATGATCAGGTTCCAGTTCCAAAACACGCTTGGCAGCAAATTCTCCCAATTCAATATCACCATGAACCCTACAAGCAGCCATCAGGGATCCCCAAATGACAACATTAGGCGCCAAAGGCATTGTTTCTATAAGCTCCATAGCATCTCTTAAGAGATTAGCACGGCCAAAGAGGTCTACCATGCAACCATAGTGCTCCTGCTTAGGGGTAATGTTGTATTCATTAACCATTGATGCAAATATTTCCTTGCCCTCCTCAACCAGCCCTGCATGGCTGCAAGCATAGAGCACACCCACAAAAGTAATCCAATTAGGATTAACATTTTCTCTTTTCATTTGTCGGAAGAAGCTTAGTGCACTATTAGCATCACCATGTATGGCAAAGGCATTGATCATGCTAGTCCAAGATATCACATTTCTTCTTGCCACCTTGTCAAAAACTCCTCTTGCACTGTCCAAACTCCCACATTTCCCATACATATTGATAAGGGCATTATTGACGGCCAAGGATTCTCCAAATCCATTCTTATCAACATAAATATGAACCCATTTGGCTTGGTCCAATGTACCAAGATGAGCACAAGCAGAGATAACACTCAACATGGTAACCTGATCAGGTTGCATTCCTAAAACTTGCATCTCCTTAAACAAGTTTAGTGCTTCTTGAGGTTGATCACTCTCAGCATAACCAGACATCATTGCGCTCCAACAGATCAAGTCTTTCTTATCCATTTGGTCAAAAATTGAACGAGCATCTTCGGCCCGTCCTACCTTTGAATACCCAGAAACCATGGCAGTCGAAACAACCAAATTCTTATTTGACATGTTATCGAACAACTTTTCAGCCAAATTCATACAACCACAACTTGCATACATAGTAACAAGAGCACTCTGCAAATGAGGGTCGATCACAATATTGTTTTGCCTAATGATATCATGGATTGCTTTCCCATAGCTCAAATTCCCAGCACGGCCACAAGCAGAAATAATGGTAGAAAGAATCATCCCATCTGGCTGCATATTACACCTTTTCATCTCCTCAAAAAGCTCAAAGGCATCTTGGAAAAGGCCACATTGACAATACCTAGTAGGAACAACCAGAAGTTAAATGGCACTTAATAAACAAAAACCAACAAATTAAAACAAAATATAAACGATCTTACCCATCGATCATAATACTCCATGCAACAACATCCCTATGCGACATTTTATCAAACATCAGGCGCGCGTCGATTATCCTCCCGCACGCCGCGTACATCCCCACCAAACCCGTCTGCACAAATGGGTCAGAGACGAAACCATACTTGGCTGCAATCCCATGAATCTCCATTCCCTCGGCCAAGGCGGAAACTTGCGAGGCCGCCTTGAGGAGCGGCGGGAAACTGAAGCGGTCAAAAGGCAGAGTCTCCTTACTAATTTTCTGGTAGACGAGAAGTGCGTAATGGGGCTTGCGGGAGCGAGAAAGTTCGCGTAAGAAGTGGTTGGAGAGGTGAGGTTGTGGCGTGGGGAAGAT